TCAAAACTATTTCTATTGGTATGCTATGCTATTGCTATGTCTATCATGTAGGACTTTTACTTGAGTAAAGTTGGTGCCACCTGAACAGAATCACAGATGACCAGGCTGCGAAGCACTGAGTGGTCAGGAAGCCAGTCTGAGAAAAGAGGAATTGTGACCACATTTTATCGTCATAGTTTTTGTCTACCAAAAGTCAAATGCAGAGAGGCATAGATCATGTGGAAAATAATAATTGAAATACATTAAACTATTTATACAATTGTTTGTACATCCCTAAACCTCAGTGCAAGTACAGATTGGGATACAGTGTAACAACCCAAAATTACTCCATAGTAACACATTCATAAAACTCTCACTTTTAAGCTTTTGATGTATTTTGGGAAATGTGTGAACTTTTTGTCATGACATTTATATATTAACCAAAACTAAAAGGTTTCATCAGAGTGTCTTTGATTGTGTTCAGTATGAAACCGCCTTACGGTACCAAAATGTGGACGTATGGCGTTAGTATCATTCTAATAAGATTCTTGTGTTTTTCAGGGAGACTATGGGCAGTCTCATAAGCTCTGTCCATCAGATGGTCATCTACCAGACTTTTACAGTTATGGCAGAACAATGCATGTGCAGTTCAAATCCGACACCTTTGTGACAGGAAATGGCCTCAGCTTCACGTTTCAAATTGCCAGTAAGGAAGGAGAAATAGACCCAAAATACCCTCTTCAAATCATGCCTTTTTATTATTAATAAAATTCAAATGACTTTAAAAAGTGTACTTGCTTGTCTGCATCATCCATACGTATTAAAGTGATACTAATTGTATCTGGTTTCTGATAAGTGCTCTAACTATAGTTTCTGTGTTTTTCAGGCTGTAGCCGAACATATGAGCAGGAATATGGCTACCTGAAGAGGCCAGGCTGGCCTGACATATATCCCAACAACATGGATTGCACCATCATCCTAAAGGCACCACAGAACAACTACATCTCTTTCTTTTTTAACAATTTTGATGTGGAAAGCCATAGCAACTGTCAGTTTGACTATTTGGAGGTAAACCAAGCAATGTTAATGCAGAGACA